CTGAATATTTATCTTGGATTCATTTCTATCAATGTAGACTAACTTTAATTTCAGTTCAATTGACTTTTCATCTTTTTCTACTTCTTAGGACTAGAAAAGATGAAAAATAAGTTAAACTGAGATCAATTAATCTTCATTGGTGAGAATGAACGTTATATATTCAAGAAACTGCGCGCGTACTTCGTACGATGTTGATATGTTACAATTTCAAGCAATCGTAAATATTTCCAGTCATATAGAAAGAGAACACATACTTTAACCCAAAATAAAACTATATACTAATTGTAAGTCAATTATCGTAGATTGACGAGATTGATATCTGTAATGAAATCGTCGAGTGATACATTTATCAAATTCGCTTGATGCTTTTATTGCACATTTTGAATTTCTACTATGAAACGTGATGTACTTAATTATGTAAATTTCGGCATTTGCATATTGATTATTAGAACGAAACGATAAATATTATTACCACTATTCGTTATTTATTAATGATAATATTGTAATATATATTTTATGTAAAATATTGTGGATAACATTAACACATAGGCAATCTTTAATGATCGAATCGTTGTTACTTTTTTTAATCATTCTATGAAAACGTGCGATTTTTTAAATCCTCGATCTTTTCCCGATCCTTGAATGCAATCTTTTATAATAATCAAAACAATTTAGATACAAAACATTCATTTTCTCATAATTCATTATCTCATAATTACTTTAATTATATTAAATATAGAAGAATTTTGTAAAATATGAATTAAATAACAATTCTGCATAATTTTTGCTCAATAAAAATACTTTTATTAAGCATATTTATTTTATATTTCATAATGTTTTATAAAATACTGTCATCAAAATATATTAGTTACAATGTACACAATTAAACTATCTAATAACAATGATTGCTCTTGCACATTAAAAATAAAATTGCATTTTACTTTAATATATTATCAATTATCAATTTTTTGCACACACATAATAAATTTTTTTCTAATGTAAAATAATTTTTATTAAAACGTTGGAGTTTAGACTAGAACATTTCATTTAGGCACATAATACATATATATAATAAATCGGATACGTGCACTATAATGATTTCATATAGAAATTTTTTTTAAACAATTGAATAAATAATTTTATTAAAAAATTGCATAATTTTATCTCTTAATTATAAGAAAAAGAATATATTACTTTTGTTACTAGGAAAACATATCCTCTTCAGAGCTATTACGTTCTTCTTCTGAGTTGTTAAGAACTCGCACTGTATCATACATGTTTGTATTTTGTAACATTAACTTGACTTTACTTGTTGAAGGCTCAGGGCTTGTGTCTTCACTAGAAGAGAAACTCATGCATCTCTTAAGAGTTTTCTTACTACTCTTTGGTATAACTTCCTGATCATTTTTATAATCCATTTCTTGTTTCTTTAGCTTAGGTTTAGTATCATGCATTTTTTTACTCTTTACATCTGATTCATCACTTTCATCATCAGTGGTTTCATTATATGGTGACTTCGTTGTTGTCTTTTTTGTATTATTTAAAGCTTCCTGAAGCTCTCTAATCTTTTTCTTCTTTGTATTCAGAAGTAAAAGAAATTTCATGTTAAGATCTTTCTCCATAGTGTTCTTTTTGTTTATTATTTCTTCTAAATTCACGATCAGTTCTGTATTGCTTTTCTTAAAGTATTCATTCTCTTTTTCCAGTGCCAGTGCTCGCTCTTGGTATTGTTGATAGAGTTCTAATGATTGTTTTAAAGTGTCAGATAGAATTAATATATTCGAAAGAGAATGCATTGTAATTTCTCCACGAGTGAGAACATTTTGTTGTTTCCATGTGAATGTTGTTCCATATGATTTATCCTGCAGAAAGAACTGTATATCAGCGTTTTTCCCAGAGAATGCTTGTTTTGTTTTCTCCAGATATGTTTCAAAGGATTCGTCCAAGTGATTTAAGAAGTAATTGGCATTCTCTACATGCATCTAAAATAATAAGATAACTTTCAATAGATGATAGTCATTGACTGTCGGCAGCGAAATTATATTTTCTTGATAAATCTGATAAAATTGTTAGGATTTTTCAAATTTTGTCTTACACTTTGGCTATGTTTTCTAACAAGGACACAGTATAACACAATGAATCATTTCGTCTTTGTTGTATATGTCAACTTTAAACAAGGATAAAATAATTCAACAGAATGTTGCAAATGTTTTGAAATTTGGTTGCTATAAATGCTTTGTATTCTTTGATTGGTTAATAAAATTTTTTTTATTAATCAATCAATTGCTTCAAAGCATTTGTAGTGAAAATTTGACTGCACCCATAAATATACAATAAAATAAGTAAACAGTTAATTAAATTACCTCACCACTTAATGGTAGTGTATACGTCCTCAACACTATTATTTTGAAAGATGTATCCTCCCATTCTGTGTATAGCGTAAAATTGCTCTTGTCCACTTGATTCACAAACTGACTTACGCTCGCGTTAATCATGATGTTTCTTTTCGGTAATCCAGAAAAAGTGTCAGATAATTAACGAAAAAAGTCATCAAAAATATCTGATGTGCAGTCATCTGATATGATGAAGATTTTGTTAACTTGATTGATTAAGAACTCTTGTCAGAAGAAAATACATTTCGACATTGTATAAAAAAAGAATTTCGTCAATCGGATTCGACAATTAAGTTTCTACTTTAATAATTCATAAATATGATTTAAAATTGATAATGTGCGCATTACAGGTTAGTGACATGATTCGTGTATACGATAAAAATAATAGTAATGCGCATGCGCGAACATCTCCCGGTAAAAAATTGTTCAGCATGAATATGTATAAATATGTATAACATACATAACACGTATAAATATTCATAAACATAATTATGTATGAAATATGTCCACATACATGTTCATACATGCTTTCTTTTTTTATTAAATTGCTTTTTAGTGCAATAGAAATAATAATAGTAATGAAAACATTAAAAATAATTAGGTTATTAAAAAGGTAATTTTCGCACTATTTATTTTTAAAAAATCAAGTTTGAAGAAATGTAAAAAATTATTTATGTATAATTATATATAAAATTATGTATAATTATGCATAAGCAATTGTTTTTACTTTTTCCGAAACTTATTTTTTTCTAAAACAAACAATGCGAAAATTATCTCTTTAATTATTTTTTATGTTTTCACATTTTTATTTCTATTACACTAGAAAGTAATTTTACAAAAGAAAAGGATGTATAGACATGTATGGACATATTTTATATATAATTATACACGTTTACGAATATTTATGTATGTTTATACATATTTATACATATTTATGCATGAAAAATTTTTTACCATTTCGCGGTGTAGCAATTTTTTTTCATTAAAAAAACCTTAATTAAAAAAATATATATTTAAAAAATAAAAAACTGTTGAGGTTATCAAACCTAATTATAGATTGTAAAACAGATGTAGAAAATTAAAATTAAAATTATTTTATTAACACAAAATATAGATAATAAAAAATAATAAAATAAGACAATAGAACATTTTTCATGAATTTCTTCATGAATTTTGTTTTTTGAGAAACATAACATTATATCACATAAAATATAAAAATATTAGAAATAAAAAGAATTATAAAATTACAAATGATGTTGATTATATTTATTATGCGTGAAATTAGAATTTTATTGTCATACCAGGCATATTCCGCGTATATTGAAACAAAATCCGCCAAAAAATGACAAACTAAAAGGCCAAGCTCTAGATTGGCTGCAGCAATTAAATATGTGCAAGAATTTGTATAGGTACTTGTATGTTTCCCATGATTCGCAACTCCCGCCGAATAAAATAAAAAAAATCTCGTAGTATATACAATACACAATATAAGTGTAATTAGTTTAATGTAGTACAGTGTAATGGTATCAAGTAGCATTTGATATACATTTTTGTGCGACATTCAACGAATCTTCAAAACGCAAGAGATTTTTAACTTTATCATTTTCTGTGCTAAAATTTAAGGACTAATTTTAAATAAGACTTTACAGGGGAGGAAACTAAAATATATTTTACAGGGGAAACTATGAAGAAATCTGTACTCAGAATCATTTGTTTTAAAGTATCAGTTATAATATATTATATAAATAAAAAAATATACATTTAAGATTCATAACTCATGATAGCACAGATCTCCAAGGAAACGTTCTGAAGGAAATCTTGAGAACATCTTAACATCCTGAGAATATACCTAGAAAGATCTTTTTTGAGATAAAGTGTGCTGTATGGGAACTGAAGTGTTTGACTACAAATATATGCATTTGACAATTAACATAATTGGCTGCGTTTTGTTTCACGCATGATGCGCATGATATCATTTATTCTTATTATTCATTGTTGAATGTTAAGGACATTCTCCGGAAAAAATCCATTTTCTTTAGATTTTTCTGAAACTTACAGAAAAAGCTTGTTTTGTCCTTGTTGGTGTCCTGAACATGTGCTTTAAAACTCAATACCCAGAGCGGGATTAAAAATCGAAATATTCCACTTCAATTAAAGTTGAAGTGTTTAACATAGAATCCCTGTTTAAAGCTTATTCAAAAATGATCTTCTTATTCACTGTAAAAAAGTTTTTCTTAACCATTTTTTAAAACAATGAGACATAAAACTTCGATCTCACAAGGAATAACATAAAATTTATCTATATATAGCTTCCGGTATTCGTTTTAAAAAAATAATCATTGAGCAAAGTACAAAAAAAAATAGCTTCACTATTGGTAATTTGAAATAAAGAATTTTATTTCATATATTAATATTTGTATTTATTAGAACACTAACTATATTGTATAAAAAACTTGTATAAAAAACTAACTTAACACTTATTATGAAATATCTTATACTACATAAAAGTGAAATAAATTATTTTTATAATGGTGAGAGTACTAATGTGGTACTCTCATTAGGTTGAGCTCAACTCATTAGGTTGAGCACAACTGCAGTCGAAGAACGTCCTTAAACAAGGATAAATGACGCATTAGTCACATCGTGCGTGAAACGATGTTTACCCATTATATAACTCTTGTGCAGAGAAACATCAAGAATACACACTTGTAGAAAATTCACAACATTGCTGGATCTAGGTTTTATCGTTCTGTCATATGTAACAGCTTCTATTTTATCAGGTATGAATTGCAATAGAACGGTCAAGTGTGAATGTTAAAATTTTGAACTGAAATTTCGAACTAACCGTTTTCTGTAAACAACAGAATGTTTTTGTATTTACTTAATACTGAGAGTCGTGACCACAACAGAAACTTTTTATAAAAAATTCTATGATAAATCTTATCTTTCATATTAATTGTGATTGTATGATTTACAGGTTATACTTTGTGGAGATTCTGAAATTCTCAAGTTAAAAGTCAAAATCGCAAAGGATACACTTAAGGATTAGTTTTTATTTATACACTTATCCAATATATCTAGAATATATAAAATAATATAATGGAAAATATGAAACGTGTACCATTGCATAAAGCCCTAGAATCATTGGCTTGGCTAGAAGGAATGTGGCGAACCGAGAGTCAAGGCAACGGCAAATATCCGACAATTAAAGATTTTAGCTATTATGATGAGATAAGCTTCACGTCCTTAGGTCAACCTATGTTCAATTATACTGCACAAAGCTTTTCCTCGGATTTAACGAAGCCAATGCATCGGGAAACAGGTTTTCTGAAAGTGAACCCTGGAACTAATCATGTAACTCTTATCTCAGCACATAATTTTGGTTTAACTACCATTGAATGTGGCGAGATAACTGACAAAACCATCAACTTAAATAGTACTGATATAACTAGAATAAAAGAGGCAAAGATACCCCATGTAACACAGGTATATTTAACAGTAAAGTCACTTGCATTATACTAGATTAGCGCATGCTAAAAACTACTGTATATAAAATTAGCAAAGTTAAATGTAAAAGGATATAAATGTTATTTGATTTAATATTTAAAATATTGTCACGTTATTGAACAAATATATATTGCTGTCAAAATTGAATATGTTACATCACTATTACATTTAGATACTTTATATAAAGCAGCCTTTAATGTGCACTAATCCATTGTACAATAGTATGACCAAATTTATTATAAATTTTATTAACTTAGCATTGCAGTTGATATTTATGTAAGCAGTAGCATAATTTTACAATTAAAATATGTTTCTAATTTTATGGCAGGTACGCAGGGAATTTAAACTTCATGATAATTGTTTGGAATATGTATTTTACATGGCAACGTCGAATACCCCAGTGTTGACTGAACATTTACAAGCAAAGTATACGAAAGTGAGCGAAGAGAAATAAAAGGATGTGAGATAGGGTGACCAGACAATCGGTTTTTCCCAAATGACTTTTTTTTTTAAGACCGGCTGGATTTTCAGTATGTCCAGGGTGTACTCTTTTTAGCTTATATTATGAGAAAGAGCAAGAGGACCGGAAGCTATTGCACATGAAATACATAATAGTAAGCTAATCACTAAATTATTATTATTAGGGATGCATCGGATCGTAAAATTACCGGATATCGGATATCCGGTGCATCTCTAATTATTATGTATCTGTGATAAAATATTTGAAAATTGTTATCATTATGTAAAACGTTTTTTTGGCTAATACTTAAATACGTGTTTTTATCATCTTTAGGATTTTTAAATGTACACTTTTCTTTTATTTTTGAGTTTAAATATACTACTTACTTTATACTACCATGTAACCTTTTTTGTTCTACTTTTGATTCTCTTGATGTCCTACTTTTGTACTATTTTTTAATTTGGAATAGTCCTAGTTTACTTAAGTTAGATCTGGTCACCCTACCAGAAGAACAAATAAAGTTTTAATTTTATTATACGCTTTTGACAATTAACGACTGTAGTTTTTTAAGCGTAAATAAAATTTTAAAGCGATAAAAACGCATGCTAAATCTACTATTCGTTATCTAATTCGTTATCTACTGCGATTATTTATCTGTGTATACATGCATGACAAATTTATTATTAGTAATATTTCATCCCAAATTTCACGAACTTACCATAAAAAGA